GGTAAAGGGTCATCAGTAGCTCGTTCCCTCTGACATACGTTGAAATAAGATTCGTTAGTGCTATAAAACACTTGCAAAATTAACATTTAATGCTTCCTTTCTGACTTTCTGCCTTCTCTTCCCCATGCATGTGTTGTCTTCTCATGTGGTTTTACACTTTCACACTTATCACTGCAAGAATTGAGATTTTTGTTACTTGTCTAAGAAGGATGCAGCCTTTGGTCAAGGTGGAAGAAATTTGAACTTTCCTACCATTAAAAATTATATTTTTGACCAAAATTCATATACTAGGAAATTAGGGATGTAATCTGAAATTTTAAAGTTAAAAATCATTCCACAGTTTCTCATGAAAGCTGTACTTCAGGCTTTTAGAGCTCCCATTTTCCTTTTTGGGCCCAGAGGTGAGATTCTGTATCGCATGCTGCAGTTTCTCTCCGTAGAGGGCTGAGGAATTTTGCTGATGGTGCTCAAAACATCGTTTCTGACAAGGCAGGACGTCACCATGCCCAGATTGGAATATTTCTCATTTCAGCCCAGACCCTTCACCTTGGGCATGTTCACTTTGTTCTATGAAGAGCAGACGTTTTTGTGACAAATGTCATTTAGCAGGAAACAATGTGCTCACTTAAAAATATTGTCAAGCATTATTTTTCACTAGCAAAAGGAATAAAATGACTAAAGAAATTCTGTATTCAGTACATGTCAGGGAAACAGAAGCTGGAGGTCAGGGAGAGCGTGAGGCTGCTGCGGCGTGTGGGGAAGGAGTGCATTGACCAGAGGAGAGAGGCCATCCAGAACGGGAAGGAAGTCACGCTGGATATTCTTACGCAGATACTGAAAGGAGATGGTAAGGGACACGTTGCTGTTGCAGTTAATTAATCTGTGGCCTGTTTTGCCATGAGATTTCATAGCATGATTTGGGTTGGAAGGGACCTCAAAGATCATCTAGTTCCAACCCCCCTGCCATGGGCAGGGACACCCTCCACCAGACCAGGTTGCCCAAAGCCCCATCCAACCTGGCCTTGAACACTTCCAGGGATGGGGCATCCACAACCTCTCTGGGCAACCTGTTCCAGTGCCTCACCAGCCTCCCGGGGAAGAATTGGGGAGGCTTATTTTGGGGATCTGAACTTTGATCCTCTGATGTCTTCAGAAGGATTTTTTTCACACTGGAGATAGTGAGAGTTGCTTTGAAAATTCCCCATTTCTTTGTGTTGTATCAAATATTGGTTGCAAGTCACCACTGAGTTGCCCACTTATCATCCCCTCCTGATGCCACCTCAGACAAAATGTGCAAAATGGGGCAGAGCATTCTGGCTGTTCCAGCTGGGGCACAGGAGTGTTTTCTAATCTGTTTGCTTTTCTCTCTTGACAGCTCTGGAGGAAACTAGAGATGATGAAAACATTCTGGATAACTTTATCACTTTCTTTGTTGCGGGTTGGTAGCTGTTTTAATGTTTAGATAAGTCACGTGGGAAGCTGTACTCATTTTTGGGCCATCTGTAGGGTCACGATTAATGCCCTTGTTCACTCTGTGTGATGATGCTGTAACCAGGAGTCACTTGGCTGGAAGACAGCAGTATTACACTGGTGTAGGACCAGCTGGGCGAGGTCTGCAGAGAACTCCTGGTTTTCTCATAGGCAAATGATGCGTTACCCTCCTTTGGGCATATCAACACAGCAAATAGTGCCAGGCCGATGGCTTCCAACCTGCAGTGCAGAGGGCAGCGCTGCCCGCTGGGGTGCAAGGCTGTTCCTCACGGGGTTCTGACCCTTCCTCCCAGATCCTGCCGAACCCCACTGAAAGCATCTTTAACATATTCCACATGTCTTCGCATCGCCTTACGCACCAGACTAAATGCCATTCTTGCCTTAAGAGTGTTAGGCTTGACAGTGCCCTCTTCCACCAACTGCTGACCATCAGAAAAATCAGGGTCCGAGATGATATGTGAGGCAAACAATGTAGAAAAAACAATTTTGCAAGTCAGTAGGATTTAGGTTCCTAAGAAGGTGAGGTCAAAACACTGTTCTTTCACAAGATAGATGTTATTGCAACAAATACATCTTTGCAGAAGTCTGTTTTCTGTGATGCTTCACAGTAATACATATGCCTACCCATGGAAAAATGAAAACTATCCATGTAAAGCCGGTCTTTCAAAGAAAGCTGGTTAGAAGCTCTGTTTCCCCTCAAAACCAGTAAATCCTTGCTTCTCGCAGGCCCACGTGTCCCATAATATGACAAGGCAAATACTGAACCTCACTGGCGCTCCTGTTAGGGAGCTCATAACCAGTAGGTGCCATATGCAGCCATTGCAGCTTTGCGTTGAGCAAGACGACTTACATCTTTACCAGCTAGGTCTTGTCATTCTTGAAAGCTCCTTACGTAGAATTTACATCCCTTTTAGTGTGTCCTTTAATTTCTAGCATACTTGAAATTAAACATCCAAGGCCTGATGTTTAAAGTTTCCTGTTCACAGTAGTAGACCATCTTTGTATCATGTTATTTCATACTAACCTTTAAACCAATTTTTTGTGTCGTTAGGTCATGAAACCCTTGCCAATCAGTTGTCATTTACAGTAATGGCACTGGGTCAGCATCCTGAAATCCTGGAAAGGTACGTGTGCTCCAATTTGCAAACCCAGCTTGCTGTTAATTTCAAGGTGAACTTAATTATAAGGATTATTAAAAAGCTAGGATTAATTCCCAATAAATTCTAGCCTCCCTTCCAAAATAAACAGTTTTGTGGTCCCAATATATTCAAAATTTTAAAGAAAGTTATGATTAATTACTTCAGTTCCATCTAAGTGATTTTTTCCAAAGCCTTTGTACAAAGCTGGTCTGGAGTCCTGCCTGATTCGGCTGCACTATATACACGTTGCTCCAGCCTGATAGGAGGCGCAAGTTCAGGTAGGCTGGCTGGGAATCAGTAGGCATTGTGCCTGAAGATGGGAATCAAAGTCCAACTCAGTGTCTGGAAAGTAAAAAATGTAATTTGTCACCTTGCCTAGCAAGAAATAGGTGTCTGCAACTAACTTTTTTGTTTTTGTTTTTTTTAATTTAACTGCAGGCTTTATGCTGAAGTGGATGAAGTTCTTGGTGCCAAGAGAGACATTAACCATGAGGATCTTAGCAAACTCACGTACTTATCGCAGGTACAGTAGGAGTGAGATAAAATACCAGTCAGAGCTGTTGGTAGCACTCCTGCCATCTCATGGGACTGCCAAGAGGAGCCACACACTTAAAATTTTAAGAGCAATGCCAACATTTGATCCTGACAGCTGACCCTCCCAGAGAGTCAGCAAGCAGGTACCATGAGCCATTTGCAGCAGCCCAGCCTTGTTGGGAAGGATGCTGCTCGAATTTCTTTCCAAAATCCCACGATTCTTTCACTGCTTTCTTTAATTATTACCCATCTGGGAGCTAGACCGAAGTTGCTTGATCCCTACCTGTGTAAGGTGATACCATAGCTGTATTTTAAGAAGGGCTTGCAACTTCAAGCCCAACCTGTGCATGAGTCCCAGGCCCTTTCCAAACTCACAACTCTTGCTTGATTATTGTTAAAGCATTTTCAGCTATGATCTCACCATGTGCCATAAACTCAGCAGGATTTGAGGACGTCAAAAAATAATCTTTTTGCAATTTCAATTTTTTATTATGCAGGCTTGAAACTCTCTTCAGTCACTCGGGTTGGGGGGAGGGAAGTTTGGTCTTGTGTGTAGAAATACTGGTTGGTAATGAACTGCAAAGCCAGGGCTTGGTTACTCGCCAGCATTTGTGTTGCATATCCTTTTTTACAAGATGAGGGATGCCAGTAGCCTTCAGGAGAGGCTGAATCACAGTCCTGGCACCTATTCTCCCTGCTTAAATTCCCTGTGATTTTAGTAATTTGCCATGATGGCTCTTTTCTTAAACTGCCCTGTCGAGGTGGGTGATGGTGTTTTACCATTTACTATATCCCATCCCACAAATCACTGTGCTTTGACAACGGATGGATTTCAGAGGTGCATTTCTCATAAGGAAAAGGCATCTCTGTGTCGTTACAGAAATCATCAGATTTCTTTAGGCTTCTTCAAACACCATCACAATTACCACTCCAATTAGCATGAGGTATCTAAGCCTTTCAGTTTTAAGACAGATCACATGAGAGCATCTCAAAGACGACCATTAATTTAACAGAACAAACTTGGATCTGTACAGCCAAAATCACAGTCACCCTTGGTCAGAGCCAGTCCATCACTGGAGTATCAGAGACCATGGGATTCCTCTCCTGTCGCTCAGGCAGTTCTGAATCCTTTTGTCCATGCTGCTTTTTCATTAATCCACTTGTGAATACACCCTGTTAATTGCATTTGCAGTGCGATGCTAATGTGCACTGCTAATTAGGTTTCACTTTGATGAAATAAGCCATTCTTACAGTTCACTACCACCAAAAGAAATGATCTCGTTCCATTTTTTTTCCTCACTGTTCCCTGTACATTTTACTTTGCCAGGCTGTGTTTTTGTCATTTTGGTGCTCTGACCTGGCTCGGCTCCCCGAGCAGCAGAAGCAGGACAAAGGCAGGAGGGGGAGCATAGTGCTGAGAGTGGGAAGGAGGTGGGAGCAACTGCCTGTCCTCATGGCAGCTGGCACTGAGAATGGCTCACTGGGGCCATGAGACCCCACTTTTAGAATTTTTCCCTTTGAATTTGCCTGCCAGTAACTTTTCACTTAGTTGTTGACCTGCATTGAGGTGTTAGATCTGTTCAATGCGTGGTATCTCTTGTGGGAATTGGCTTTTTTTCCCCTGTATTTTAACCAGTCATAAGAAAGCACCAGGCCTGACGGAGCTGACTTAGCCATATATTTTGCCCACAGGAGTCCAAGGCAGATACACCAGCATCTGTTCCACAAGTCAGAAGCTCCCATTTAGCCAAAGCGAAAGGCCATAGGGAGATAATTAATTGTATTTCTACTTCCTACACTCTATTAACTAACTGACCTTTTGTGCTTTTCGCTGATGCAGGTTTTGAAGGAATCGCTGCGCCTCTACCCACCCGTCCCGGGGACGGTACGCCGGATGGAGAAGGAGCGCGTCATCAACGGTGTCAGAATTCCTGCAAACACATCGCTCATTGTGAGTCCCATCCACCAGCAGCACCTTTTACCTGCTGCAGTCAATCCAAATGTAATGGATCTGTGTATCAGAGGGCCAAAATCCTCTCTGAAATTTTGGCCAAAACCGAGGTATGAATTGGGCCTCTGGATCGGTTTTGCCTGGGGAGTGGAAGGCAGTTACGGTTTTGTACCTGTGAAAGCAGAGAGGCGTTTTCAGTCTGCTGCTCCTCACTAACGCAAATAAACTCTTTCTTGACAGTTCAGCACTTACGTAATGGGGAGGATGGAAAGGTATTTCAAGGATCCACTCACTTTCAATCCAGACCGATTTAGCAAAGATGCACCTAAGTGAGTTTCTTTTTATTCTGAGGTTATTAAATATGTAATAAGGAACCATTACAGGAAGAGATTTGAAGAAAGTAGAATACAGCTATTTTTCCATTCCAGTATAAGTAATGCTAAAGCCTTATCCAAATGCAAATAGAGAGCAATAATGCACAGCTTCTGTTCAGAAGTTCTTTATACCACGTGATACCTTACAAAAAAAGATCAATACCAATGTTACTTAATGTTTACATTGAGGTAAATAAACAAGGTTTGGGTCAAAACCAGGTTGAATATTTGCCTTAATGCAACACAGACATTTAACGTGTGGCAGCCCTGGTCCAAGGATGCTGTGAAGTGTCTCCACATTAGGAAGGGGACAAGGGACAGAAGATGCTGTTGAGCCACATGGGGAGGCAGCCTATGCCTAACCAGTAGGCGGGAGTGCAGTAGGAGGGACCGGTGACCTAAACAGGTGGTGCTGATCCCTGCATCTCACTACTTCATGAGTCGGGGGTTTTACTTCAGCCTAGAGTTAGTCTGGGGTCCTCAACCAAATGCCCCCTCACTCGCATGGTTCAGAGCTGTCCAAAGGAGCAATAATTGGGTGGATCGTTACATCCCTGTGAAAGGCTAGAGAGCATTTAGAGTATGCTTGACATTCAGCTTTGCACACATCAAAACACCTCTGTGAGCTGAGCCATACAGTAAGCGGAGATGACAAGGAAACTTGCTGCAGAGCTGTATTGCTGCTGTGAAGCAAAAAAAAAAAAAAAAAAAGTTAATTTGGAGATCGTCTTAACAAGTCAGCTAGGTGAGGTGGTATTTAGACCATTTCCTTGCTGCTGTGATGAAATGGGTGCTTGTTTCTTTACAACCAAGCTGTCAGAATGACAGATTTGAACATTCTTCTTTGCAGGCCGTATTACTGCTATTTTCCATTCTCTCTGGGCCCCCGATCCTGCATCGGGCAGGCGTTCGCACAGGTAAGCGGAGGCCTGGAACAATGCTTCGTAGCAGCACTGGGCCGGCTCGGGGTGCGCTGGCCGTGGCTGGTGGGGGGACCAAAGGCCGCACTGATGGTGCACTGACCCTCCTCTCTCCAGAACGAAGATCCCCACCGTGCTCACGACAGGGCATGTCTCTAAAGTGCTGTCACGTGAGCAGACATACATGTACCAAATTGGTCCCGCATCACCTGTGCCCACGTGCAGCCAAGGTGCCTGCAGGGGAGGGGTGCAGGCTGCTCTCCCTCTGAACTGCTCTGGGTCACCCTGCTTGAATCCAAGCCCCTTGATGGGAATTGCAGTCAACATCCCTTTGCCAGCTGAGGTCACGTGGTGGGGGTGTGTGCAGGGGCTCTTGGGGACCATCCTGTGGTTGCAGCTGGTAGAGACAAGGCAGGAAAAACAGCTGTCAGAAGGCCACAAGCCAGGACTGGCACTGAGAAGGTGGAGAGGGGGCTGCATGGATGGGAAGAACAATTTAGTAAAGTCTCTGATTACTTCAGCATGACAGAGAGCATTTTGGAAGGACAGTAGGAGACCTGCTCTTTGGGTCTGTGCTGTTGAGTTCATCTAAGCATCAGTGCTCAAAATCTTCAAGTTAAAGTGCTTGGTTTTACCTCTGATTTCCAAAATGGGGTTAACACATGAACCCAGGGACAGATCTTTGTGCCTGTCGGTTGTCTTCAAATCCAGGAAGCCCCAGGTGACTCTTCTTTCTGCCCAAACTCAGCTACATTAAGAGTAACATGGACATTTTAAATCTCTCTATTGACAAAGCAGCATGGCGTAATACACTGGCTTTAAGCGGCTGCAGTCCAAACTGTATTTGCTGTCACTGATAAGTTTTGGGGTTTTTTTCTTAACAGATGGAGGCGAAAGTGGTGATGGCAAAACTGCTGCAGAGGTTTGAATTCCAGCTGGTACCAGGGCAGAGTTTCAAACTCTTGGATACCGGAACCGTTAGGCCACTAGATGGAGTGATGTGTAAATTAAAGCCAAGGAGCACTCCAAGAGGCTGCCAGGAGTGACTGCGCAGGAAAGGAGCGTGACACGGTAGTGGTAGCGTTTCTTCTGATTTTGAAGATCTTCACACTAATCAAAGATTAGATTTTGCAGGCCCCTTTAGAGGGTTACTAGACTGAATTTTTTCCTAGCCTTCCTCATCATTCACTGAAGAAAACCTTAGGAGAGTCACTCTAGGTATGTTTGAGCATCTTTGATCTGGAAGCGTACCTGGAATTGCAAAGCCTGTATTTTCCTGGGGGCCTGTTTGGTTCTGACCAGACTTGGAAAAGAATGTCCTTTCACTGGAGTATCCCTGGAGCTCCACACAAACCTACACTCAAATCCCAGCTGATAGTTTCCATTAAGTTTACTTCCAACACAACATGGTCTAAGTAAGCCCTTGTTCAGGGACTTTCCTGTTTACACAATGAAACAAAAATCAGAGACTGAGGCCACTACTTTTCCTGGTTTCTTCTGCCTCATTTTTATTCAGTTTCTCCTATTTTTCTTACAGTATTATTCAGAGCATAGATTCCCAGTCCATGCTGTTGAAAGGGGCTCTCCTGTTTCCTGCTACCCCTCCACAGCCCATGCCTTTTCCTTGAGGGGGAGGGTATCTTGCTGGGTTTATTTTAACTTGGATCATTTTCCCCATCTGGTTTACCACAAAGCTATACCAACACTTGGGCTAGATGGTCTAGTAGGTGCAGTAGGGTTGGAAGTGCGTGCCTGCAACCAAATGCTGCTTAAAATGATATTGCTGCTGAAGAAATGCATCTGCAACTTGAGGCAGAAGCAGGAGGAGATCCCATACCCCCTTCTTCCACAGATGGACCAGAATTGCTCACTGCATGCAGGCTTGCAGCCTGGCTCTGCTAGGGAAAAAAAAACCCACTGTGTGAAAATGCCGCCTTCCAGAAATACATGGATACCTAATGTGAGTTTGGGCCTTCTGTGTCATGAAACACAGGGAATTCAAGACAATTGGTGCTGCCACTGTTACTTCTTACCTTTTTGAATTAAAGGGGCAAGAACCCAGTCTGTACACTGTCAAGTTCTCCTGGTGTGGAAACCACCACGGGCTTTCCGGGGCTCTGCCCCTGTTGTGCACTGTCTGATTCAGTGCAGCAGTGGGAGAGCAGGCCAATAAGGTTGATGTGGCTTTTGATACCATAAGCAATGTCATACTAACTCTGTATGTACTAACATACGTAGAGGTACCAATACCTGTGCTGCTAGGGAAAGTTCAGTCCCGCTATCAGTAGGTAAGCTCTCCCGTCCCTTGTGCTGGAGATCTGCTTATATCCTCCTCGACATTAATAAAATCTCATTGGAAAACTGAGGGCTCTCCAGCTGGATGTGTGTTCCTGAGGCGGTTGGGAGTGGGATGCTTGATGCCAGCCTGGCTAGGTGTGCCAGTGGTGTAATGAAAGGTTGAAGCTTGAGAATATGTCAGAGGGAGGGAAGTATCTCAGAGGCGTAGGGAGTGGTGGGGAAAGCTGTGAACATCGCACAGCTTGACAGACATGCTGGCAAATCTTGCTGTGGAGATGCAAGACGCCACCATGCCAGCTCTCCACTCTGCCCTACTAATGAATGAGTCAAGATGCATTAGTCTCAGGCTCTCTTCTGCTACCTCTGCAGTGGGGACAGGTACCTCCAGGGAGGGCTTGAGGGGAGCAGTAGCATGTTAAAACCCCGCAGTGCGTTTGGTCAGACCTCATCTGCCCAAGACCAGTGCTTCCTGCTGCCTGCTCTGTGCTTACCCCCCCTCAGATGATGCTCTTCCTGCTCTCTCTGCAAGCCCAAATGCCATCCAGCTTTCCAGGGACTGCTGACACAGGCCTTTCTCCTGCTCTTACACCCAAGAGCTCTTCCCAGACTGTCGCCTGGCAATGCTGATCGCTTTCCAGCAGATGGCAAGCTCTCCTTGTCGATGCACCCAACAGGATCAGTGCTCCTCAGCTTTGACAGCTCCTTCTCTTAGAAGATCACCTCCTGGGCTCCTCCAGGGCATCATAGGGCAGGAGCAGATGATGCCCTGTGATGTTGTGCAAACACCCTGCAGTGTTTTGTCCTGCACTCCCAGCAGGGAGGTGATACCTTGTCTGCCAAAAAAAAAAAAAGGGGGCAGGATCAGAAAAGCTGCTCTCTGGGGCCCTGCATGCCAGCTGGGTGCTGGCACAGGCTCTGCCAAACCCTGTTGAGAAGCTTCAGGCCACAAGTGCCCAGATAGACTCAGCTGTGACAGCCATAGGTATGAAGAAGCTGGGGGCTGCAGCTTTCATGGAAAGCACACAGAAGGACAGTTTTTCGTTATTCTGGGGAAGAGAAACGTGTTATTTTTCTTCTGGGGCAAGCAATCATTATCTGCACCAAGCCCTCTGCTTGGGATCGTGGCCAGGAAGGAAAAAAAGCAGAGCAAGGTCTGTCTCCCCTTCCCAGCTGCTTGTAGGAGCAGTTCCTTTTCTTATTATCCTTTTACTGGCTGTTGGGCAAAACAAAAATCTGGAGATGGCTGGTGGGGTGATTTTTTTCTCTGGATTCCACCCAGGTGGGGCCCGGTGCAGCCCTGTGTGGCGTGCCTGGATGCAAAAGGGTTTCTCAGTTGACATGAACTGCAAAGCCAGGCTGCTCAGGGCAGCTCCTGTCCCTGCACCCTGCAGGTAGGAGCCTGCCCTCCAGCAGCTCCTCTTGCTTTCACTGTCCCCAGATGTCCACACCTACACATGGACAAGAACTCTTTGGAGGCAGCCAGAAGCTCAGCTGGCAGGAGTCAAGGTAAGCAGCTGCCCCCAAAGCTGAGGGCACTAGTGGTGACACTTGCTCCTAAGTCTTTATCAGAGGTGTCTGTCTTCCTCCTGTTCTGATGGAAGGCTGCTGCTGGTTTCTTTGATCCCCCTCCCACACCTAGAACCTCTTTGCCTCCCTCTTCTGGATCGATGCCCAGGACTTTCAGGTATGTGCTCAGAGTGAGGACTTCCCCCCCCAGGATTTCTCCCCAGTTTTTTTGTGCTAACCCGAGAGCTTGATCTTATCCCTTTGCTATCAGTGTCATAGACAAGAAACAGGGAAAATGCTGCTGCCTGGACCTCTTGGGAGAGGAGGGAACCAGTTAGGGGACATACACCCAGAGAAGCCTCTGTCTTTCAGAGGAAGGCAACCCTTTCATCGCTAGCGTGGGAGATGGGGCTAGTCTGGAGCACATCTACACCTCGTGTACAGACTCACCTACGTTTCCTGGGAGGAGCCCAGGATGGGAATGGGAAGAATCATCACAATTTTGCATGAGAGGAATAGCGCCCTAGCCCTTGCAGGAAGCCAGGAAAAGCTCAGAAGCACAGGATTCAATTGCAGTCATTGCAATTATAGCACGTTTTCTGAACAGTGGACAGCCTTCTGCTCCATCTAGCCTCTGGGGCAACAGATGTAGGTAAGCATAAGATACTGTCCTTCACTGGTGGGGCCAGGTATGCAGAGCAGGAATCAGGATATTTCATTCCCTGTCAGGATCATTTATCCATTTATCCAGCCATGGCCAGCTCCTAGTTGTTTTCTTTACCATAGCAGCTTGAAAGCGCTGTGCTAGGGGTGTGCAGCACATGTAATCACTGTATCTGTATCTTCAGAAAAACTGGTGCTCCTAGGACATGATGGGCCCAGTGCAAGCACACAACCATACATGCATTTGCACTTGGTGTGGTTATATGATGAGAGCTACAATGGGAGGCCTTCCCTGGGTCTAAGCAACATCTGCTGTTGAGACAAGACAATCACAAAGCAGGTGTCCATAACACGTACCCAACTCATCTGCTCCACACAGGGCTCATAGGCCAGGAAGGCAATAAAGTCAGAAACTTCCTTCTGCTGTGTTACAAGAGAGGGACGGGAGGAGATGGGCAGGGCTGTTGCACCACCTCTCAGTGTTCCCACAAATTGCAACATCCTGTGTTCTCCTGGATTTAGAGACAAACACTTTTAGAGGATGAATAACATTTCCTTGCTGAGGCAGTGGGCATGCTCTTCTTCACTCTTCCAGTGATATTGGGGACAAGGGAGGCAGCAGCAGAGTGGGGGGACTGGCCACAATGGGACACTGCAATCCTGCCAGCATCCCAGTAGGACTTGGTGATGTTCGTTAATGAGAAGCTCAACACGACCCAGCAATGTGCACTTCTTTCCTCCCTCCCAGAGTCTGCAACACACACAAGCTCTACTCTGAACTTCTCCAATGGTTTTGCACCCTCAGAACAAACCATCTTCTGATCCTCCTTCTGGTTCAGCCAGCAAAGGTGCCCAGAGCTCCTGGAAGTGAGACAGTGCTCAGGAGCAGGACCTCCACCCCTTCTCAAGGATCGGTACTGTTTCCCCCCCTCTCTCAAAATACTTAGGTGATATCTATATTAACGAAGGAAATATGCCCTGGACCTTTCCCTGGCACTGAGGCAGACTGGCACAGAACAGCCGTGTCAATCGAGCTCTCTTATCCTTCAAACTATGGTGGTTATGTGCAACCTGTGTATCAGGAATGGTCTCTGGCACTCCTTGACTCCCAGATCACAACAGGAATTGTCAGGAGAGTGCTAGTGGCCAGGGGCTGCTCTAACAATGTGGCTACAGGGGAGATCAAGTGCCAGTGACTTAGGAATGTACCTGGCACTTGAACTTTTCCAGTCTGTACTAGTGTGAAGACTGTTCATCTTTAGACCCAGTCTGTACTGGTAGGCTAACCCTGCTAATACTGAACTTCTCCCCTCTCGTTCTTCCCCTTTAGCTCCATGCCCTCCTTCTCTCAGCAATGCTGCTTTCCACACATGTCTCTTTTGCTCTGGAAACATCACCACGCTGATCATCACACAGGCTCCAGCTGTCCTTCTCTTTGGTCCATCTATAGGATTTGCTTCCTATCTATAGTGCCCCCACACTGAGGGCCAGCTGAGGGTCTTGGACTCTTTAGCCCATGCCAGCATCTTCACTGGACTGGTGCAGGAGAAGTTGTTCCTCCAGTACAGACCCATTGTAAAGATATTAAAGAACTGCTTCCTTCTTTTCAAATGGATTTTACTCAATTAGCTTCAGTCTCGCTCCATTTCCTCAGAAGATCACAGGACTGTAAGCTACAAGCAGACACTGGAGTACCTCCACTGCCTGAGGCACCAGCAGCATCCACTAAGAGATTATACTGGATC